GTAATCACAGCTGATAACAGCCCTTTCACAACATGCACCAAGGCCCAGGTGGCCATTACTTAAGTTGTCTTTGCTGCTTCAGTGGACTGAGAGAGCCTCTGCACAGACACAGAGTTGGCGAGCGCTCCAGAATCCAGGGACAGCCAGGGCTTGGAAGCAAGAAGCAGACATCCTCCAGTTTCATGCTCTTCACAGTTTCTACTAGACCCAGCTGCCCATCTACCGAGGCAAGTCTACTCATCAGTCCTTTGATTAGACTTTCAAAGAGACCAGCCAATCCTCACATTGAATGGGGGAGCTGAGAGAAGACTCACCATGGAGAAGACAATGCCAGGGCTAAAAGAAAAAGAGAAATCATTTTTGCCTGGATGGTGGGCTATGTCTCCCTCAAATTGAGAAATGAAATCACAAGTCCATGGAGTCTTTGTTTATCTCAGTGGAAGTGATCAAGACTTCTGTTATTCACTGGCTTCCTGCTCACTATGCAACTACTGCGCGCAAAGCACCCTAGCTGGATCCTCGGCCCTCAGAGATACACTGGTTGCCTTTCTTACATTGGAGTACTCACACACCAGCCAACAAAACTGATTACAAGAACCCATCACTGCACAGGCTTAATTGGAGCCAGAAATTAAGTTGGACCTGGAGAAAAGGGTACTAAATATTCATGGGGTAGTTGGGGGAGGGGATAGAATGGGCAACTGTTGCTCACAGGATCCTACACATTTTTACTATTACAAGAGCTCATGAGCATCCTATTCAAGTCATGTAATATTTATAAGGCCAGTAAAATGCATATTTTATTATTGGGGAAGTTGAGGTCAAGCATCAAGGTACTCATTTATTAAATGGAGATAAAGCTCTCACTTCATGGACATTGGAAAAGTGGCAGCCAACCATAATTATTTGGAGTGTATGCCACATCCTTTTATTTCCTTGTTAAAGAGGCTGCCCTACCACCACATCAGAGGGTCTGGCTCACAGCTTCTGTCCAAGACAGCCATGACATGACATACTTGCCAAAGACTCTTCCATAGGATCTTAGAATTGAGACCAGACCTTCTTTTCACTCTCTGTGGACCACCTAGACAGCTACTTCCACCATATCATGGAGAAGCAAAATTCAGAGTCTATTCCAAAGAGTCCAAAGGTGGAAGCAATCTAAATATGCATCAGCTATTCAATAGATAAGTAAATGTAGTATATCCATACAATGGAATATTGTTCAACCATTAAAGGGAATGAAGCACTAATGTATGCTACAATATGAATGAACCCCAAGAACATTTATGCTAACTGAAAGGAGCCAGACACAATATCTGTGCATTGTTTGATTCCGTTTACATGAAACAACCAAATGAATAGGCAAACAAATGAATAGGCAAATTCAATGAAAGTAGATAGCAGTTGCCAGGGAATAAGCAGAGAGGGGAATGGGAAGTAACTGCTTCATTGATGTGGGGTTTTATTTTGGGGGTGAAAGAGCTCTGAGAATCAGAAAGACCGTGAGGATTGCTATACAATGTACTGGAAGCTACTGAACTGTGCATTTTAAGATGGTGAAAATGGTGAATGTTATGTGAATTTTACACCCCCAAAAAGTAATTTAATAGTCTATGTTACTCTTTTAAAAATAGCTTTAGTGGATCTATGTCTCTCACAACTAAAATTCACTGACTAAAATAAGTTAAATTTCTTGTCAAGGGCATTTAATTCTTTTTTTTTTTAGTTTGTTTTAAGGTTTACTTATTTATTTGAAAGGCAGAATGATGAGGGAGAGATCTTCCATTCACTGGTTTATTTCTCCAAATGCCCACAATAGCCAGATGTAGGGAAGACCAGAGACAGGAACCAAGAATTCCTTTTAGGTCTCCCACATGGGTGACAGGGACCCAAGAACTTGGACAAGGGACTCAAGAACTCTGACCATCTTCCACTGCCTTCCTAGCTGAATCAGCAGGAAGCTGGATCAGATGCAGAGAAACAGGACAGGAACTGGTACTCACATGAGATGCCAATGTCAAAGTGGCAGCCTAACCTAAAGCACCAAAACGCTGACCACCAGGTCACTTAATTCTTAGAAGTCAGGGCCTGGTCTCAATGCTGTGTGCTACTAATTGCCATCCTATCTCTTTTTCCTCCATACTGTACCCCTATTTAATATGTAAAAGAACTCTTTTTGCATGTCTTAAACAGACAGCTGGCTGGTTCTGCAAACCTGCCCATAAGTGGTGAAGTGTGCATCCAAGTACATTTATTTCAGATCCTGTCAGCAGGACTTTATTAAGAGGGCGTGAGCAGGCCTCTTTGCTTTCCTGCTTTTGTGAGAATTCTTAATGGCTCCAAGGCACACATGCCATTTTTCAGCAAAATCTAATATTTATGTCATTTCCAGAAGAAGAGCATTTGTATCACTTCTCGTTGTGCTTCATGGCACAGACTGGACAAATTGCTCAGGTACTGTATCTGTCACATATCCCCTCACCTGCCTCCCAAGTGCAAGGTTAGGCACACTGTTCACTGAAGCAGAAAAGGCAGTGCAGCACCAGGACAAGAAATAAGTCCACATCGCAGAAATGTCCTGGTCTAGTATTTTATGGAACTTCAATCTAGAGGAGACCTTGAAACTTTAAGAAGTCACAGAATCTCTTTATCTAAATTATCTGAGACCTGTGATTTAGCTATAAAATTTCAATAATTCTATTATAAATAATTATAATATTTATTTTCAGCTAGCCACTGACTCTTGGTTTTGACTAATAGAAAGAGCTAATGTTTAGGGGAGAAAAGTTAGGGACAATGATGGCAAGGAGGGTGTCTGTTAAGCTACTTACAAAGAAAGGGGTGTGTGTGTGTGTGTTTGTGGGGAGTACAAGGTGCATGCTTCACATGTGTGACCTCACAAATTTCATCCTCCTTACACAGATGATGAAACTGTGGTTCACAAGATTCCATGATCTGTACCAAGTTCCAACATTAAGTAGGTGAAGATGACAGATGTTATCTCAAAGCCCACATGATAGTATAGAATGATTACACAGTAAACAGTCTAGAGTCATATCCTGAGTACACAACAGTGCTTCCAATTTGTACAGCAATTCCCTACTTGTTTTGAAGTATAGACGCCAAGCTGCAGAATTTCTGGGGTGAGAGAGAAACAGGCAGCAGACAACAGGTAAGACTGCAACATGGAGTGGGCTTCAGAGAATTGATGTTTTAATCATTAAGCAAGCAAGTGAAGAGGGCAGCACGAAATAGAAAACACGAAATAGGGCAGCAAACACAAAACTGTGGAAGAGAAAGGTATAATAAATATCTGTGAATCCCTAGAATAAGAACATAATCGTCAACTAGGTACCACAGAGACATTCACTTTGGGGTCTTTTCCTCAGAGGCAGCATACAATGATGATGACCATGATGATGACCATGATGGTGATGATGATGATGGTAATGATGATGATGGTGATGGTGATGATGGCTGCCACTCACCGAGCCTGGTGAGCATGTTCATTACCCTCTGGTAACCAACCACAAACGCCCACACGTATGTATTTTCAGGTCACATGATTCTCTCAAAACTGGATCCATTCCCAGCTCCTAGCGTCAGTTTTGTGACCCAGGTCTTCACCAAGTAGAGCATAACATAGGAACCAATACTGGCCTTGATATGGATTCAGAGATAGACATGATAACCAATCAGAACCAATGGTAGCAACTTCTTCCCTGGAAGCAGGTAAGGGTTGGAACTATTAGTGTCATCTTGTTAGAGGTGCAAAGTTCTGAAAACATGGTTTGAGCCCCCAAACCCGGCCTTTCTCCTGTACATTTACATTTGGCTGAAAAACAGAGTGTCCTTTAGCCTATGGTGGCATCAGTCAGGTTTTGGGCATTCAACTCACGAAATCCTAACCAACATAAACACTAAAAAGCACCTTGGCTAATCCCCACAAAAACATCAAGTACACACACACATACACACACACACTTTTTAGATGAGAATTTGAGACACGGGGAAGTGAAGTCACCCTCCTACCTGGTAAAGGCAGGATTTGAATCCTCATAGTGGGACTCCAGAGCCAGTGTTCCCAACAGCAGCTTTAGGGCTTAGCTCCACTCTTGGCAAACAGAACTCTCCACGAACTCAAAATAAGTCTTTGCACTCAAAATAGTTCTGAAGGCTTAAAATACCTTAAAGGGTGTAAATTTTCTCAAGCTCCTGTAGGTTTGCAACAATCCCTTTTTGGCTTCAGTTGTCTCCCTGAAAAGAATCATTTAAGCAATAAAAACGACTCTCCCTGAGTCATCCTTCAATTGCTGAATCTTCACTTTCCCCAAAATTACAGATAAAAATAACAATGCACAGACGCCAAGACTATAGCTGCTAAAATGGACAAGAGGGAAGACACGAAGAGATCCTGGCCAAACATTGTCTATATCAGTATTCAAGAAGGTTGGATCAATATCATCTGGTCATTTTTGATGGCTTTCTTAATTAAAGTGGGTTTTTATCCATCACACAAACTCTGGGACTGGTAGCATGGAAAAGCCCCAGCTGCTGCCTCCTAAATGCTTTAGAAATTAAAAAAATAAAATAAATACTAGCTAAGAGGACAGAATGACATGTATACCACAACTAAGCAATCTTCTCTCTTTGTTCAGTTTCCTAGCAATTTGCCAGTGGCTGGGCAACTCTAAGAGATAGCAATTGTGAAATCAAGAGAAAGCAAGGAGAATACGCCAGGATCAAAAAACTCAAAGACCTACTGGTATTCTCCAGGAGCATCAAAGACACACTTCAGCCATGAGAATTGTTCAACTCAATCTGTTTGATGGCCAGAAAGAGGTTGGACCTAGGAGCAGGAATTCTTCAGACTGCCACTGTCTAATTTCGAGTTTCAGGTTGCCAATTATAAAATGCTCACTAGGCAAAATCCTCTGCCTTGCGGCGCTGGCACACTGGGTTCTAGTCCCGGTCAGAGCGCCGAATTCTGTCCCAGTTGCCCCTCTTCCAGGCCAGCTCTCTGCTGTGGCCAGGGAGTGCAGTGGAGGATGGCCCAAGTACTTGGGCCCTGCACCCCATGGGAGACCAGGATAAGTACCTGGCTCCTGCCATCGGATCAGCGCGGTGCGCCGGCCGCGGCGGCCATTGGAGGGTGAACCAACGGCAAAGGAAGACCTTTCTCTCTGTCTCTCTCTCTCACTGTCCACTCTGCCTGTCAAAAAATAAAAAAATAAAATAAAATAAAAAATGACATGAAAAGACTTTATGTTTTGGGTTGGATTCAATTAATAGTAAAGAGGGTGTATAATGAAGAAAAGCATGGGCTTTGGATTCTGAAAGAGTTAAATCTACACATCAACCTTGTAATTTAATATAGATGCAACCTTGAACTGGTTACCTAACTGTACTAGCCTCATTTCTTCATCTCCAAGTGAATAAATGCTGCCTACTCTTAGGGCTATTGCAAAAGTGAAAGGAGACCAAATAGACTTAGTACAGTTGATTCCTCTGTATTAAGAGAAAATAAATATAAACCACTATTATTTTTTTATTAGCATTACTAATGATGAGGTTTAAACTTGGGTGTAACTCAGAGGGCAGTAAGGCCCTCCCTTGTAACAAAAAGCCACACTGGAAAGCATCCCAGAAAATGCTGGCAATCAGCAGCAGTACTTTCTTGGTTTGTATTTTGTATTTTTGTATTGTTGATTGTCTGGGGTGAGACACATTTTTTGGCTTGTTCTTTGTGTTTTTTTTAATTCTGTCATTATCATTAATTTTATCATAACTTATTGATGTGAAGGTACCTGGACATTGCTTGCTGGCATATGACTTGGCCTCAGTTTTACTCATGTGAAATTTGTGGGTGCTAACAGGCTGGCAGGTGAGACTGAAACTCCAGCCATGCTGCCAAGCCCTGCTCCTTTCCATCGTAACTTTTCCTCACTGCCCCTAAGAAGACCTTGTAGAAACGCTTGCCTTAGCCGCATATTAAATCATAGCTGTTCTTCCTCCAAGACTATGCACTATCACTTGGACTTTGGCCAAATGATTAGGGAAATAGCATGCTTTATCTCCCAGAGATTTTCCACTCATGAATAATTTTAGCAAATCTAAGGATTTAACAGCATCTTTTTGACCAAAGATCTTTGTTTTTGACTAGACAGTGTAAGACTGAAACGCCTAAGGTAGATAGCATGGCATGGGATGTGGTATGGTCAGAGAAGTCAGGCAAATTTAACCATGGTAGCTACAGGTGCTGTGACTCCTTTTTTACTGAGTTTGTTGGACTCCAGGTGGCCTATCCTACAAAGGAGACTGTATCTGATTAAGTCATCCAGAAGATCTCTCACAACTGTGAAACTCAGCACCTCTCTCTGTCTACACAGTGAGATTTAACGCTTCCTTATATGCCATCTGGTGGTAGTCTTTGATTCTCCTGTGAATTTCAAGGTAAAGTGGTAATCAGTAATCAGGACTCGGTTCCAGCCCCAGCTCTGAGACCCTTCTTTCCATGATAATTACATGGCCGTGGCTTCATATGCTACCAAAGGAGGTATGCCACATGGATCCTCTGTTGAGAAAACACTTTCTTGCAGCTACTAGGTAAGCAGTTGGTTGACAGCCTGCAGCTGTAACACTTGCAAGGTCCATTTGAGCTTTTGAGCCAAGACAGTCTTTTTTCTAGGCAGCCCCCAGCCAGCAGCAAAACACAGCATGGTTACTAGGGTCCATCATTTCTGCTCCACGCAAGTTGCCTCTGATGGGAAATCACTGGTCTGGAGCGCCTCCTAATAGTGAGACATGCTCCATGTTCTGTGCTTGTCACTCTCCCAAATCCTGTTCTCTTTCCCCTTTTCTTCTGCTAGCGCCTTCATCTGAGAGCCTTTCCCTGACTCATCTGTCCTCCCCCTTTATTTTCACAGGAGTTGGCAGCTGCTCCTGACCCAAGTTCAACATCTCTTTCCTGGGATAGTCAACTGACCTGGTATTAACATTCCAAACTTGCTCACTGGTTTTGTAAAGCAGGCATCAATAACAACATCATCATCATTATCATGAAGAGGAGGGGAAGAAGGCAGAGCAGGAGGAGGAGACAACAGTTTTGCAGGATCATTTTGAAGTGCAGAGAGTACCCCCCAAACTCTTCACATCCCACCACTACCACCATTCATTCCAAAGTACTCTTGCCTCAGGAAACGGCTTATAGAGCAGAAAAGCTAAATAACTGATTCTGAGTTTTCATGGCATAGCTTTTGTGTCTTAAGAGCCAGGCTTTTTGAGATTTAAACATCTAAGGTCTGAAATACTTGAAACAAAGTTTGTGCCCTAAAACATTTCAAAGAGAAATTGCTGCACCTAGTGATCCTCTAAATAAGGACTGGGTGGATTGAGAAAAGAGGGAAGAGAGGGGTACGGTGCGCGGGAGGGCAGTGGAGCCTGGCATTAAAAGGAAGAACCCAGAGGTGTAAGTCTTCATCATTGAGAGGGATCACCACTTCGATTAAGACACCCATCTTCTCCCAGCACCTAGGGCCCTGTGGGAGCCACAGCAGCACCCACTAACTTCCTGGCCTCCACCAGGGTAACCACCCCTACAGGACCAATTGCCAAGGAACCTCCTAAGTTGCCCTTGCTGTGGGGGCCTCCTACTGCCTACAGCCAGCAGAAACACTCCCTCTCCAAGCACTAATCCTCTGATGGCTCCCCACGCCATTTACTCTACGACGTCTTTCTCTACAGCCTGCATTATTTACCATCTGCTTGCAGCTTCCTCAAAGAGGTGAACCCTGGAGTGAACATTTGGCTCAGTAGTTTAGACAACATTTGGGATGCCTGCATCCCATATCCGAGTGCCTGGTTCAAGTCCCAACGCCTCCACTTCCCACCCAGCTTTCCATGAATGTGCATCTCCGGAGGCAGCAGATAATGACTGAGGTCCCTGCCACTCCTGTAGGAGACTCAGGTTGAATCCCAGACTTCTGGCTTAGCTTGGTACAACCCTGATTATGGTTGGCATTTGAGGAATAAACTAGCAAGTGAAAGATCTCTCTTTCAAATGAAAAGAAAATTTTTAAATTACACAAAGCATGAACTGTAAATATTTAAAGGAAAGATCCTGTGTGGTTTTTTATTAAAAAAAAAAAAAAGCATCCACACCCCAAATTCAGTCAGAAGTGAAAATAAAATAGTAATAACCATTAGCTATTTTATATGATTCTATGCATTCCTGAATGCCAAGCACGATAAAATGTCCTTTCCAGACATCATCCCATGACTCCTCAAAAAGCAAGGCCACTGAGGCTCAAGGAGACTTAGCAAGCTGCACAGACTCATCTAGCTGTAAGAACTGCAAGGTTCTACTTAATTCAAATCTCTCTCTGGTCTTGACATTAAACTCCTTAGGAGAAGAGCTGTCTTCAACTTTTGTGCCCTTCTCTGTCCCCCCACATAACACTTAGCCCAGTACTGGTCACAAGATTCTCAGTAAATATTTTGTGTTTGGACCAGCTGTTTGCTATATGCACCCCTCATAGAAAGGAAAAAAAACGGCTTGCAATGTGTGTCTCCATTTCCTCAGCACCAGCAAGACTCCCAGTGCAGCTGCATAGAAGGAGGTGGGAGGCTGTGAGTGTACATCCACAGGAGAGATCATATTTCAGTCTTTTCATTTCATTTGACAGGAGCAATACTGATTAAAATCAGCCGAACATGTCACGAAAGGGTAACTGGGATCTTCATTTTTTTCTGTGCGGTGGCAGCTGCAACTGTACTTCAGAAGGAAACTCTTCATGCATAAAATTACTAATAGACACCATCTATCTGATGAATGTCTTCTCCTTAATAATTTATATCACTTGATCTATTTTCAAAGGTTAGTCTTACATTAAAATTACAATCCTGAATAGGTCAGCCTGTTATTTAAGAATAAATTATTTCACCTCTTCATGTTAGTGTTGTGTTTGGTTAATGATGAGGTTTTTATTTCTAGCCCCCAATGAAACCACGACGGAAATTGCTAGCCTGACCTAACCCTCATCACCCTGAGTCTTACTCCTTGCTTTATGCTGACTCACTGTCAGTCACTAGCCTGCATGCTTCAAGGCACTTCACTCCATCCTGGTCTTACTCTTCCATATTTTTCTCACCACCTGGCCATCTTTCCCCATTTCCTCTCCTCACCCACTCCCACCTTTCCCAGCAAGGAGCATTCTTGAGCCCTGTCTCTGGACACACAGCTCTATGTCCACACCCTCTTTAGCCCACTCCTCCATTTCTGCAGAGATAATAAAGGTGGCCCACAGTACCTCCTCTAGCTTTTCCCAGGGAGTGACTCACCACTCATTTAATAAGAATGAGGAAGCCCTGTGGCACATGCAAAGAGGACTACAGAGAAAGCTGTTTAAGTTCCACAAGAACTATTCCAGGCAGTAGTGATTCACTCCTGGTTCTAGTTTTTGTTTTGCTTTGTTTTGTTTTAATGCAATGGAAAGAGCCCAGATTTGAAATCAGATAGTTTAAATTCAACTCTGGCATTCCTCATCACTTGGTAATTTGGAGCAGAGCAATCTCTGAGAGTTGTTTTCTTCTATAAAAAGGGAATTGTCACATTTCTCTGAGAGATTTGTTGTAAGAACTTATCAGTTAAAATAGGAAAAATATCCCACATAATGTAAACGTAATAAAAAGCAGTTAATTAAAGTTTGTTAAATGAATTAAATGTTGGGGAGGAGGCAGTTTATTTGGCCTAGCATTTAAGATATCAATAAAGACACGTCCCAGTTCAGAATGCCTCGGTTCAATCCCATTCTCTTAACTTCTGACTCCAGCTTCCTGCCACTGCGTATCCTAGGAGGCAACAGTAATGGTTCAAGTGATTGGGCTCAGACCACCCATGTGGGAGACGTGAATCGAGTTCCCAAGTTCGGCCTAGCCAGCTGTAGGCAGTTGTTGGCGTCTGGGGGCTGACAGAGTATACCTCTGTCGCTCTGCCTTCCACATAAATATTTTTAAGTGAATCATGGATTAATAGATTATCAGTACACCGAAGACTTACTATGAGGAAAAGGATTTTTAATAAAAAATTTGCCTAGTGAAGAAGACCAGAAATTGCAAGTTAAATAAAATTAAGAAGATGATCCTGTTGAAGAGTGGCTAACAGAATGCCTCCCTATAAATGGAAGGTATCATTGATAAATAAAAATAAAGTGGAGTGAATGGTCTCTGGTAACTCTACCTTGTAGGAGCTGTTAAGGTAGATAAAGAAAATACTTTGTAGCCAGAAAATATATGAACATATGAAGAGATTGTTATTACTATTATTAAGGATATTAAGAATGAGCTGAATAGATGACTTTTATTGGATGAAGTGCAAACCCCATGAGACGCTTCTCCACCTGAGGTGAGTGTATGTGCACAAATACTTGAGAAAGGTATAGGGTTGGTTTGTTTAATTAAAGGATAATTTCTGTTGTTGCTCTGAGTGCACAAAGTCATAAAGTGTGGGTGTTTAAAAGAGAGGCTGAAGTCATGTGCAGAGAATCTAATTGATACTCTAAAGCTGTTGATTGTAAATATGCTCAGGAGGTAGATAAGTTCACACTGTTTCATGGCAGGAAGGCTTTTTATTGGTAATTTCGTGTAATTGTGAAGTTGGAAGAATCACTGGGCTGGAGGGATCCTCTCCTGCTTCGAATTTTGAGGAGGACCCATGGGAGCTGTGGCCATGACCTTCCCTTTTCTGGGTAAAGGGTTTTCTCTGAAGAGACCAAGAGCAAGACACAAGAAGACAAGAGGTTGTCATCCCAGGCTTCTCCCCACATTCCCAAGGGCATCCTCTACCCATAAACATGTGTCTCTGCTCCTAGTATCAGAAACAGGCCAGGCAGGGGCAGAGGTGATCTCACAGCAGTGAGATCTCGGAAATTGACAGAACCACACTAAAAGCTTCCAGGAACCTAAGGTGTTGGCCTGCTCATTCTCACACATGTGCCTTACTTGTGATTTGCTTCTACCTCATCACCTTGTATATCTGCTCCATTCTGTCTCAGCAGACTGCTCCTCTGCCCACCCCCCCACTATGAACTTGGCAGACAATAGCACCCCAGCTGCCAAGTTTGACTTAAATTCAAACAACCAACAGACCAGCGGCCTGCCAGGTGAGAGACTGTCCGGTCAGGTGTCTACGAAATCACCTAACAGGGTCACAGAATAACAACATGGCTGCCAGGGCTTGCTGAGCAGTTCTCAGCGAAGGCTCATAGGCCCAGAAGATATCCTAAAGGAATTAACTTCTCTGAGTATAAAATATGTGATGATAAATTTTTAATACCTGGTGATGAGGCCCAAGTATTGACTAATTATGTTAGCAAATGCAGAGAGCACTTACCATGGTTGCTCTCTCCTCAGTTTTAATGGAGCCAACAGGTATGTGCTGCTCCCAACTAAAAAAAGAAAAAGTCTCCATGTGGCCCAGAGGAGACATATAGGTAGAGTTAATCCTTACATTCTCCTCGGTGAAGGGCTCCGACTGTCATCTTTCCTTTGCACATTGAACAAGTAAGACGAGCATCAGCAGAGCACCTATTAGAGCAGAAGTAGAAACACTTTGAGGTCAACACGGGCGTGCCATTTCTGCTTTGCTCCAAAAGCACAGGTAGAATCTTACCTCCACCAACTAGAAATGTGCCAGGGGATTTCAACTCAGTCTTATCAAGGAGGCATGTACCAATGCCAGCGCACTTGGTAAAGTGATAAGTATAAATACACAACCGATCAAAAAGATAGGGTATGTGTCGAAGAGATTACACAAATAAGACGAGTGTAAGCAAATAATGAAGGATAGAATTAAAAGGGAGAGAATGATCCTGCAGGGGAAACAGGACACACAGCAGACTCATAGAATGGCAGCACTCCTGCCTCAGAATCAACCGTTGGGACATTCAGATCTGGCTAAAAGGTCCATGAGAGTCTCACAGGCATGGAAAGCCATGACACCGTGGCAAAAAAAAACAAGCTAAATGAAAGATCCTGGTGGACAAGACCCCAGCAGAAGGAACAGGCCATCAAGGAGGGAGGCACCTTTCTCCAAAGGGAGGAAGGAACCTCCACTGTGATATGATCTTGACTAAACAAGTTCAGAGTCAGTGAATTCAAGGGGCTTCCATAGCCTAGACAGCTCATGGCAAGAGCCTCGGGGTATTGCTGACGTCATAAATAAGAGTGCCAATTGTTAAATCAACAATGGGAGTCACTGGGTACATGCTCCCCACATAGGATCTCTGTCCTTAATGTGTTTTACTATGAAATTTAAAGACAACACTACTAGCCGTACAATACCCTATACCTTGCGCGGTTGTGTGAGTGCAGCCTGTTGAAATCCTTGCTTAGTATATACTAAATTGATCTTCTGTATATGAAGGTAATTGAAAATGAAACTCGATGAAGGGCAGGATGGGAGAGGGAGTGGGAGGGGGAGGGCCGCGGGAGGGAGGGAGGTTGGGGGGGAGCCACAGCAATACAAAAGCTGCATTTTGTAAATTCACATTTATTAAATTAAAAAAAATTTTTTAAAAATCATACCTCAACCCAACACAAAAATCAATGTGATTAAATGCAACTGCGTTGCTAATGGGTTTTCATAATGACCTCTTCCTTTAAAGAGAGTTGTCCTAAAAGTGCAGCCTGGTAAGTCACTTAGCCCAGTAAGACAAGGGATGTGTCTTCCCATGTTACAGGTGACAAAACTGAGGCTCAGAAGGATGAAGTCCAAATGACTAACAAACAGCAGAGCTGATACCAAAACTAACATCTTCTCATTTATAACCCAGTTGCCTTTTTGGTATATTGCTTCACTTCCCTATAGGTTACTATAGAGAATTTCCCATTATAGATATTTTTCCTTTCATCACTCAAGAGCCACTATATAATCTTTATCTGGTTCTGTGCCCCAGGAAGAGGACTTTATCAAGGGAATTAACAGAAGCCTGTGGCTCTAACTTATAGCATGTTGGGTCAATCAGAGGAACCAGAAAGAAATCATGGAGTTAGGTCATAGTATTTTATATGTTCCTTCCTCTGGGATACCTCTATCAGAGGCCACAGTGCCTACTGGAGTTTCTCCAGGTTCCAGTAACTCCTTCCTCCCCTTGATCTTTGAAGACTAAGGATGACAATTTCTTCTAAATGCTGCTAACCCTCAAGTGCTGCATCACCCCTTGTTGGTGTCCCTTACTCCTGCCTCTATTAAACTCACCCTTTTTCTATCAGAACCCTGAGTGACCAAACAACTAACAGCATTCCTTAAACCTCTGGTTATTGTACAATTGAGGTATGTGTATATATTTTTATTAGATGGAGACACAGAGATCCCCACTTACTGCTTGACTTCCCCAAGAGCCCACAATAGCTGGTGCTGGGCAGGGCCATAGCTAGGACCAGGAACTTCATCCTTATGGTTATTGCGACCCTGGCTCCCAGGGTACATATGAGAAAAAAGCTGTCAAGAGCAGAAGTGGAACTCATACACAGGCACTCCAATATGGGACGAGAGCATTCCAGGCACGGTCCTAACCATTGCACCAAATGCCTACCAAGTCTTACTAATATCCTGTGAGAAGGATAGACTTTATAATCTTCTTCCAACTCACCACCCACAAATACTCTCAATTTGCATGAAAGGGCACAGGTGTTTTTCCATACTGTGCTCATAACAGAAAAAACATACTTTGCTCCTCTTAATCTTAAGTAGGCAGCCTGGATGGCTGGAACCCATTGCCAAGGTTCTTGTCTCTCACATTCAGGATTAGCTCTACTGATCCAAACAGGAAGTTCAAAAGAAGAAGAAAATACTGAAAGGACTCGCCTACCTCTGGGAACATATGGGTCAAAAAGGCTGAGACTTAGAGACAGAGAAGAATGACAATAAAGAGAAAGAGGAAGAGAACACGGTACACTGTACATACAAGGGGTCTTAGAAAAATTCATGGAAAATATGTATTAGGAAAAAACTATGCATGTGTTTCCAAACTGTTTTGTACCAAAATAAACTTCTCTTTTAATTCCATTTTTTCCATGAATTTTCTGATGCCCTCATAGAACAACAGAGTTATAAAATCATAAGAAACAACCCAGGGGGCTGGCGCTGTGGTGCAGCAGGTTAACTCCCTGGCCTGAAGTGCTGGCATCTCATATGGGCGCCAGTTCGAGACCCTGCTGCTGCACATCCAATCCAGCTCTCTGCTATGGCCTGGGAAAGCAGTAGAAAATGGCCCAAGGCCTTGGGCCCCTGCACCTACATGGGAGACATGAAAGAGGCTCTTGGCTCCTGGCTTCGGACTGGCACAGCTCCGGCTGTTGCAGCCAATTGGGGAGTGAACTATCGGATGGAATACCCCTCCCTCCCTCCCTCCCTCCCTCCCTCTCTCTCTCTCTCTCTCTGCCTCTCCTTCTCTTTGTGTATAACTCTGACTTTCAAATAAATAAATAAATACATCTTTGAGAAACAAAAAAAGAAAGAGTGAACCCAGGGCAAGTGTTTGATGCAGCTGTTAAGATAAAGATTGCATTGTCCATGATCAGTATCTGGGGCTTTGCATTCAATCAAGCTTTGTACTAACACACACCCTGAGGGGCAACAGATGACAGCTCAGGCACTCAGGTCCCTGCCATACATTTCAGAAACCGGGATTAAGTTCTGGGCTGCTGGCTTTAGCCTAGTCCAGCCCTCACCATTCACTGCAGGCACTTGAAGACTGAACCAGCAGATGGAAGATCTCTTTCTGTGTATCTCTGTCTCTTTATCTGTGTTTCAAATAAAATGAAAATAAAAATTAATAAAAAGATAAACATTCCAATCCATACTGCCTGTGTATAATACCTGAACTTCAGTCAGCTGTTTAGTTGCTGACATATTTTTATTTGGCCTAAGACTAAATAAAGAGAGCAATTTACTTCAAAGTTGAGTCTTTCAAAACATGAGTACAAGAGAACAACTTTTAAGTGGGTCACCACATACCTTCCTCTTCACCACATATACATACGTAAGTCAACATTCTCCATGCAAATTGCTCTATAACGCTATTTTGGTGTTTACTGATCCCTGTCAGCCAACTGTGCTCAAAAGACTAGCAACAATCTTGCCCCAGATGACAAACTTACTTACTCAGAGCAGTTTTTCTATGCCTTCTCAGTGCCCAGGATCCAGCACAGTGCCTAGCACATGGTGGGCGTGCAGGAACTGTTTTTGAGTCAAAATGAATGCTGCAACAATTTTGGAAAGTACTAGATCAGTAGAATCATGTCAGAGAGAGAAGAGGAAATATAAGAGATGATGCTGAATGGTGCCCTCGGACTGAGTCTGCCTGATCTCTCCCCCTGCTCTCTAGCAGTTCTGCAAAGAGCTGCTTCCTCCAAGCTGCTGCTTCCTCTTTGGAGCTCATCAGACATGGCCACTTTCCTAATCAGAGCTGCAAGTGAGCATTCACGTGGACATTTCCATCTAAGTTGTGTCTGCCCTTACCAAGCAATGTTTAACAATAGAAGAAAACGAGTTCCCAATTATTCTCTGAGGAGGGCACAGCACGGAACACACTGAGCAGGTGGCTCCCGCTGCATTCTTTGCCTCCCTACCAACAAGTCACACACCTGAAGGGCGGTAATGAAAGACACCTCCAGCTCTTCTTGCCAGTCAGCATCCCAGTTTTTCCTGACTCAAAAATAGTTTTCTAGCTGCTGTTTCGAGTCTCCACAAGGAATTCAGAGTGTCGCTGATGATAAAATATTCAGCTCTCCAGAAAGCGAGACAGCAAAGCGAATTCTTCGCTACTGCAGCAAAATGTCTTACTTTATTCTCTCTGGTACAGGAAAGAGCAGGTGCCTCTTCTCCATCGCCTGTGCCCCATAAAAATTTGGGGGCACAGTGACACCACAGAATGTTTCCCTGTATCCAGTACTCCTTAATACTTAAAATCTGGAGATTTCATTCCAAGTAAATTCCAGATACATCTTCTGGGCTCTAGTTCTGGCACTGATGGAAAATAAAGTAAATAAAGTTGGCCCTTATACTTAAAGAACTCAAAATCTAGCATTTTTTCTTGTTTTCATGGATTTATTATTTTCAACCTAAAAGGGACTGAGGTGGCTTACCAAAAATGCAAATGCTACAAATAAGATAGAAGACAACTTAGAATAAGTGGGTGAAGAAATTGAGAAAGAACTAACATGAGGATGAAGGTAGGAATGCAGTTAACACCCAAATTGCAGGCTGTAGGATCACATATGCCTGCGAGGTATAATCCTCCACTTGACTCCAGGCTTTCTAGAAGACAGGAAACAGTAAGGAGCCAAGCCAGGTTTCCAAGTAACTACAGTGAGTACCGTGAGCTATGCAATCAGAATATCTGGGTTCTAAACTCAGCTTTGAGATCTAAGAGAAATCACTGGATTTTTCTTCAATTGCCTTTCCTTACATGCAAGATAGACAACGGTGCCTGATCCAAGGGATTGTTTGAGGAATAAAAGAACTTATGCACCTAGGAATGCAAAACATCCAAAATACTGTACCTGCTTCTTAATTCTTGTCTATGACAAGACAGAGTGCAACAAGTATTGCAAGCAAAGTTCAAGTTTATTGCTGAAAAGAGGAGAAAAAGAGTGATGTTAGCTGAGGATGGGTGAGGGACATACATCAGGAAGCACTTTGCAGAGGAGGTGGTAACAAAATGTACACCGAAGTAGAAGTAACATTTTGGCTACTGGATGGAAGGAAAAGAAAGGAAGATATTTTCAGCAGAAGGAATAGTACAAGTGTTAAAACAGAAAAGTACATCATGTGCCAAGGAACAATAAGTATTTGAAAATTCAGAAATATAGTTGTTTCTTGTCAGCATTATATCAGACAAAAACTTTTAAATAATGATAGAAACTCAACTGGACTTCCAAACCAAAAGACAGGTTATATTATTTCCCTTAACTCAGAACTTAGTGGTAGTTTCAGGTACAACTGGATCCAGTACCTTAAACAATATACTATACAAACTTAACTTATCTCATTCACACAGTTCTACTTCCCTCTACATCAGATTCCTTTTCCACCAGGATCTCTCCTTGGAGAATTAGCCAACCATTCCAGATTTTCATCTCCCCAGCCTCAGGTTGGTAGAAATGCCCCCAGCATTCATCACTTAAAAGATACTTGAAGTAATTCTGGAGAACTTCAGAGAATACTTCTATTCTCCTCCTGAGCACAAGACTACACTAGGACTGCACGGCTGACTTTAATCAAAGAATCCTGAGTGGAAGTGATGTTCTCACTTTCGGTTGAGAGTTTTAAGAGCTGCTAGCTGCATTTCCTTCCTCATCATGATGACTGCAATTCTTTCGTGTCTGGGTAGGACTTCATCAGCCTGGCTTACTGACCAGCAGGCTCCCAAGCACTGGGTTTTCTCACTCATAGTGGTCTCATGGTTTTCTATGATCTAGAGAAAGAGCTTGTCAATCTTGCTTTCAGCATGAGATCAAGTGCCAACCAAAGCATCAATTTCTATTTGTCCCATTCTACTTCTTCTCCAGAGTCTTTGTGAACTCTCTCAAGCCCTAACTTCCAGAAAAATATCTAATCTCCTTCAACACTTTCGTATCTTCTATGAACCAGACGCATGTGCTACCTGTTGGTCAGACACCAACACTACACGTCCTGTTCCAAAATGCAGGAAAGGAGATCATGGCTTAAACCATGTGATCAGATAGATTTGTGAAAATACCCAAGAGCTGATGACCCCCACCATTATTTGATACCATTTCTTTCTTCAACTTGTAAGGAAAAAAAAAATTTAATGTTGGAAATCCTAAGGAAGCAACATAGCATGGTTGCAGGTTATAACATCAACAGAGTCATTATTTATGACAGTTCTCTTCTGTACAGTTATAAATGTTCCCCAGGGACTCGCAGGAACCTAACCTTTTATTTCCTTTTGGGCGCACACATTCAGCATTTACTAATGCATTCCTTAAAGCTTCCTTTAAACTGTGAACCACTGGCAGGCTTAATTTTTCTTTGCTGTTCATGAGCGAAGAATCACCTTTGGCTCTCCCTTTTCATTACCTAAAGAAGGCAAGTTTTCAGCACTTCTGTGGCTTTCCCAAGGAAACAGCCACAAGGTGTTTGGAAAAGTAAATTGGCAATAGGCTGGTAAGGCATATACCTGCATCAGATAGAGGTAGTACAGTTGTCAACACTTCCTGGCCAGGAGGTAGGACCCTTATCAAATTGTTAAGTAGGCAAGACTACTTTTGCTTACCTGACACCTGAATGAATTTCCCAAGTCTTCCTTTTTTTCACTGGCACACCTCTTCATTTCTGCTGCCTGTCGCCTCCCACATAGGTAACCTTCTTATCGTCTTCCAATTCACCCATTCATCACTTCAGTGCCATTCTCCCAGGTGGCTAGCAGGGAAAACTGTCATTTGATGAATTCATTCACACTTAGCTTGAGTTACTTTTTAGAACTTGATTATAAACTTTCTCAAAGGCATTTGAAAGTTAAAAGAAGTTTATTCAAGGAAGAAATCCACATCAAACTAAGCTCATGACCTATGTCTGTTTTTCATTTCCCTGTGAGCCACAACTCTCTGTCTCCAACAAAAAAACTTTGGATATTCCAGGGTTTACCAGGTTAAAACTTATCCCCTCAACACAGCTACACGGATGCTTTGGGCATTTTGCCAATTACTACTTAAGAAAACCTGACTTCCCTTTCTCTTCTTTTCAGCCTGTGTCTTCCTCCTAAGACACAAAGGGACATCTTCCTAGACTGTCATTCTTTTCTGCTCTATTTTTGAGTAGCCTAGTAGGGAAAACAAACCTATGAACACAGACAAAGCAATATCATATGGCAATTAAAGTAACGGGAACAGAGACCTGTAGAGGGTAAAGGTTTGAGTACTAACTATGACCAAATGGCACTGTCCCTTAGAACTCTTCTGTTTCTTAAATGCAAAGAGGAATCAAATTATTACTAGGTAAGGAAGAGGCAGTTCAACAGGAATTGAGGCTGACATGATGCACAAGTCCAGAAGACATCACTCATCCAAGTGAATGGTGCCCCTGGGATTGTGTGACAGTGATGCTGACAGGCTCTTTCAAAACATAGCAACCAGTTCCACCATCTCCATTGGGCAGGTAAAGCCATTCTGAGAAGTTTGATGGTTATCCTTTTGAATTTCTGGACTTCATATCTTCTAGAGACCCTTCAGTAAAAAAAAAAAAAAAAAAAAAAGGGGGTTCTAAGGTGGCAGAATAGCAACAGGATGCTCTAAATTACATGGGGTGAAATTAATATCTGAAAAAGGGGAGGTGATTAGAATGGCTCTCATACAGAAATCAACAAATAACAAATGCTGGCAAGGGTGTAGGGATAAACATACCCTAATCCACTGTTGGTGGGATTGTAAACTGGTACAGCCACTATGGAAGACAGTATAGAGATACCTCAGAAATCTGAATATAGACCTACCATGGGACCCAGCCATCCCACTCCTGGGAATTTACCAAAGGGAAATGAAATCAGAATATGAAAGAGCTATCTATACCCACATGTTAATCACAGCTCAATTCACAATAGCAGATATATAGAATCAACCCAAATGCCCATCAACTAAAGTCTGGATAAGGAAATCTGGGGATATGTACCATGGAATACTACACAACAGTTAAAAAAAAGAAATCTGATCATTTGCAACAAAATGGATGAATCTGGAAAACATCATACTTAGTGAAATAAGTCAGTCCCAAAGGGACAAATACCATATGTTCTCCGTGATCTGTAATAACTAATAGAACGCCCAAAAAGCAGTCTGTAAGACTGAAATTGGCATTTTGAGAAGCAATGACTTTCAACAGCCTTTGTCTTGCTGTTGAGGAACAGTTTTATTTTTTTCCATACTATTTATTGAACTCTTCACTTAACATAGAGTTAATCATAGGTGTATAAAGTTAATTAAAAATAGATCTTAGTAAAAAATAGGAGTGAAAATAAGAGAAGGAGAAGGAAGTGGAGTGAGAATTTAAGTGTGGGGGTGGGAGAGTGGGTGAGCGGGTGGGCATGTTATAAACAATCACCATGTTCCTAAAGTTGTAATTGTGAAATGTATGAAGTTTGAAACTAAAGCAATATGGTTCTGCAAACATCCCTACAGACTTAATTCTATGGGTACAGCTTAAAAACTTGCCATGGGACCTCAAATCCCCTTACGCTGAGTATTAAAGTGATTTTAGTGTTAAAAGTGATCATAGAGATAGGATTAAGGGTTAAAGTCTCATATAGATAGGATTAAGTGTTAAAGTGATCAGATAAATAGGACTAAGTGTTTGGTAATAATAGAAATAAAAAGGAGTGAATGTTCCAACATAGGAAGCAGTCCATACAGCAGACCCATAGAATGACAATCATCTTAAGTAGCACTCTGACCTCAGAATCAGCCCTTAAGGCATTCTGGTCTGGCTGAAAAGTCCATGGTAGCATTTCAGTCATGAAAAGCCAAGACACTGAGGCAAAAAAATGTTCTACATTAAGGACTTCTGTGGGTCTCACTGTGGGTAAGACTGCAGTGGAAAGAAGCAGCCACCAAAGAAGTATATACTTTTCTCTGAAGGGAGGAGAGAACTTCCACTTTGCTTATTGCCTTGTTGAAATACTGAAGGAGTTGTGGATTCAAAAGTTTTCCATAGCCTAGGCAGTTCATATCATGAGCCTTGATTGATCACTGGCCTCATACATAAGAATGTTAATTGTTAAATTAACAATAGGAGTCACTGTGCTTTAACTTCCCATGCAGGACCTCTGTCCTCAAAGGGTTGTATTATAATTAAGTCTAAGTACTCTCAAAAGATGTGTCATTCTTGGGTTCTTCTTTAAAGATAATTAAGTTGAGAGAGAGAGAGAGGGAGGGAGGGAGAGGGAGAAAAAAAGAAAAAAGAAAGAAAAATTAACTCTGAGATGCAATAACATTGAACAGTCCTTGACTGGACTCTTAAGGACCAGGGAGTTTTTTGGGTTCCTCTCCTCTCCTCTCCTCTCCTTTTCTTTTTTCTTCTCTCCTACAAAATGCTGAACTCTTTAAGAAGAATAGAGTTAATCTTTGGTGCATAAAGTTAATTAAAAATGGATCATAGTAAAAAAAAAAGACTGGGAATAGGAGAAGGAGGAGGAAGAGAGGTGGGAATGTAGTTGGGAGGGCAGGTTGTTGGGGAAGAAATGCTATGCTCCTACAGTTGCAATTATAAAATGCCTGGAAATACATACATACATACATACATACATACAATACCAAGAGAGTACCAAGAAGAAATTGATGCTTCCATCTATTACATGGTAGAGGTGGAAAAGGTACTCCCTGATCTGTCCTGTGTTTGCATAACCTTAGTACCTATGTAAGTTACATTCATCATAGCAAAGTATTATTTTGTTGATTGGCATCTGCCCTCTAAAGTTAACCAAAATGTTGTGACAAAAGTTTGTTTGGAAAATGTTAAACTCTTACCTTATGGTTCACTGAAATTTTTCAGATTTTTTGAAATATTTTCTTAGATTCCAAATTTCTCAGCAATCTTTTTTTTCCATTTATTGTTTTCCCTTGAAAAATAATTTTTCTCCCAACTTGCTAACTGGTGCTTATGGCACCCTATTCATCAAACAACCAGCCATGCAATCCCAGTCTTTTGCACCATCTTCTTGCAATTTATATCCACTTAATTTGCCAAGTCTGTTGAGTCTTCCAGTTTGCTGTCACCTGCTTCCTCATCTCAGTCCCCACAGGCATCACCTCTCTCTTAATTATCATGTTCACTCCAATCTCTCCATGCTCCACTCCTCCTAAAACTTCCTTAAAAATAAAACCTTGGGGCCAGGGCTGTGGAGCAGGAGGTCAAGCCGCTGTCTTCAAGTTAGCACCTCATATTGGCAGCAGATCATGTCCCAGCTGCTCCATTTCTGATCTGGCTCTGTGATAACAAGCCTGGTAAAGCAGCAGAGGATGGCCAAAGTACTTGGATCCCTACACCCATTTGGTAGACCAAGATAAAGCTCCTGGCTTTAGCCTGGCCCAGCCCTGGTTGTTGCACTCATTTGGGGAGTGAACCAGCTGATGGAAGATCTCTCTCTGCCTCTCCCTCTCTCTCTGTAACTCTACATTTCAAATAATTTTTTTTGCAAAAAATAAAACCTCAAAACTTTTTTACTGTTCTGATCTAATATCTTCAAAGACAATTAGGTACCAACTAATAACAACTCTTCAGCCAGGCATGACAAAGTCTCTATAATATACCCTCTGGCTATTTTATTTTTTGGCAGCCTCCTAGATCACTATTCCTCAAAGTATGGTCCACGGCCTACCAAAGTATCACAAGGACAGGTCTTGAAATGACCCCAAAATCCCTGTCCTTTCCTCAAATCTCAAGAGCTGATTATGAGCAATTCCACAAATAACTATACCATGACTGAGTATTTTTCATTGGGAACCCACTAAGGAGGAAGGGGACCAAAATCAGGTAGTCATACGCTGTAATTACCACCACAATGGAGTTTCCCAGGCACTCTACTTCAGTATTTCACTAAACAGTTTTGATATCGTGCAGAATTAGAAAGCTCCTCTGTGTGCACATGTGTATCAATGGAATTCCTATGGATAGGCTGGGTGGGGTAAGTGGGCTTGAAGGCATTTTACCCAGATAACCCCAGTCAAAAAAGCTATCGGTAATGCTGCTTTAAGGAATCTCAATGACAGTCAAAGTCACTCTTCTCTGAGTCTGTCTGTATGCTTTACTTCTTTACCTTTGCTAACTCAGATCTTTCTGCCTAGGCTGCCCTTCCCATACCTGACTGTACACTAAACATCCTTAGACCAACATTGTGGTACGTTAAGCTGCTGCTTGCAATGCCTGCATCCCTCATCAGAGTACTGGTTCTCCAATTATCTAGCTCACTGTTAATGTACCTGGGAAATCAGCAGAAGGTGGCCCAAATGCTTGGGCCCCTGCCACCCATGTGGGAGACCTGGGTGGAGTTCCTTGCTCCTGACTTTGGTCTGGTCCAGTCCCAGCCATTGAGGCCTTTTAGGCAGTTAACCGGTAGATAGACTATCTCTCTCCCTTTTTCTGTCATTTTGCCTTTCAAATAAAGTAAGTACAACAAATGTTTTAAAAATACCAAATATGGGGCCAGCATTGTGACACTGTGACTCCAGCACCCCATAAGGGCACTGGTTCAAGTCCTAGCTGATCCACTTCTGATCCAGCTCCCTGCTAATGTACTGGGATAACAGCAGAAGATGGCTCAAATATTTGGGCCCTTGCCACCCATGTGGGAAACCCAGATGAAGCTCCCCTGACTTCTGGCTCCTGGCTTCAGCGTGGCCCAGCCCTGGTCATTGCAATTACCAGGAGAGTAA